GTCAGCAGCACTCGTACCATACGGTCACTCAGCGGCAGGACCTTTGGGGTGGAGGAACGCCATCGAAGAGGTCGCCCCTCAAAAAACCCCTGGCTAGGCGCCTTTTACCAAGGCCCCAAGGGGGGGGGTTGCGACCCTTTTTACCAAGGGGGGGTTGCGACCCATCGCACCCCCTTCTACACGCTGGTGTGCAGTTTGCATCCCCAGGACGTCCGGGAGATGCGTCTGCCTGCGTGTCGCCATAAACCGGAAGTCTATTTTTTGCTTATTTTTTATACTGTGTTCGTAAATTTGTTCAAGGTATATTTTTGTAAGCCACTTTGGGTCTCCATTGGGGAGAAGAACAGGATAAAAATATACTAAGTAGATAAATATATTATTGCAGTTATTACCACTAATAGATTTCCTTTCCCGTACAGCCATCTGTTTCTCCGAATACAGTTCCCTACCAGTCCTTTGAGCAACCAAACCACTCCCCCACTTGGTACTATGGCAAGACTATGAAGCTCTGTGAAATCTGCTTGTGTGATCTAATGTACAAGAGCAATGCCTTTATGTCTTCTAATGGTTTTTCTCTTCCCTGAGCCTAGGCAAGGCAAAAAAACCCCAAGCAGGGTGGATCCAATGCAGCACTCCTGCAGGCACAAGGAGCATTTTGGGCTGCCACAGGAGGGGTGAGTTTGTACTGCTTCGGAAGTACCCTGACAACTCCATCTAGAAAGGAATGCCTATTTATTGATAACATCAAATCTCTGTTCAAAGTAGTGTCTGACATACAAAGTTATAACTAGCCTCAATCTTCTTGGAGGTGCAGACTGTTTCATAATAGGAAAATGAGAAGGTTTCACAGTTGTTTACATGAATATGTTAGACTCATTTCAAACCTAAAATGGTAAAAGAGTTTTATAATTTTAGTTTCTTACCTTGCTAGGCTCTCTGTTTTTCATATCCAAGGTGATTTCTTCTTGCCTGGAATACTTTTCATCTGCTCATACCAAGAGACCAGCACAATGCAATTAGACATGAGTGATTCATTTGAACTGTATTCTAAATGCTTAAAGGAAGCAAGCTTCAAAGAAAAGTATCATTCTTTCCTTTCAAATGTGCAAGTTTATAGATTTGGCATTTGCTTTGCTATAGCTCAGGCAACAATAGCCTGGCAACCATACCCCATTTTAACAAATTTGGGAAATCTCATAGGATTATACCTAGCAACAGTTTCACTTATCTTCCTACTCAACCTTAAATAATCAGAAATTATGTTCATGGAGCTGCTGCATCTAAATACATTATCTAACAACCTGCAAGTGTATGTCTATGAAAAAGGCTCTCCATCACCTGACTGGCAATTGATTGTGCTTCTGTGAACGGCTGGTCACTAAGGATGTACATTTGGATATAACCAAGCTGAATATATATCCGAAACATGCCTTATCTGTGCTTTTTGGATATATTTGGATCTCCGAAGACATTTCCGTGGTCATGTGGCCGGCATGACTAAACACCAAGGCACACGGAATGCTGTTACCTTCCCACCGAAGTGGTACCTATTTATATACTTGCAATTTCTTGCTTTCGAATTGCTATGTTGGCAGGAGCTGGAACTAGAGATGGGAGCTCACTCCTTCATGCGGCACCCAGGTCTTGAACTGCTGAACTATTGACCTTCCACAGCCTGCAGTTCAGCATCTTAACCACTTGAGCTACTGCAGCTCCTAACTCTATATTATGAGTGGTCTAACTCTTGACAGCAGTTCCCAGAAAGCAAAGAGTCACATTCTACTCCAACTGCATTCTCTAGAAGTAGTGTAAATGACAGTTCCCTTCAGAGCACGTACCATTAAGGGCTTAAAATAAAAGATTTCCACACATTAATATGGTGTGTACAATGAATGTGTATGGGTGTGGAAGAGAGGCAGGATCATAGATAAGCTCTGCCACTGGAATAGGCAGTTTCATTGTAATGTCTGCACTGTTGGAAATATGTGTGCTAAAATTCAGTCATTATAGGGTTAATGTGCTTTGCGAGCTACTGTTTAGACTGACCTGGAAGGGAACCTGGCAGAAAGCCAATTGAAAGAAAGCCGGGGAAACTGAAGCCTATTTACTAACAATCATTGGTTAATGCATTCAGGTGATTTCCTTCTAGGGGTCAAGAAGAAAGGAAGAATCTCAGTTACTATCTGTGTGTCTGTTGTTGCTAGCATGTAGTCTTAAGTGTTTGTTGTTTTGCAGATTTTCCTATGTACCCTTCCCTTTTTTTAGCATAGAAAGAAAACGCCTCCTTTCCAGTGAACAAAGACCCATTGCAAACTCTGAATATCTATTTTTACCAATTTTTCAACATGCACAGGCCTTCTGCATATATAGAGTGTTACCACTTGAATGTACAGAGCCAGTAAGTGGATGCACACAAAGCTCTCTCCACACTCCTGAGAATTTGAATTTTTCCACACTGATGCTCCACATTTTGTATAATTCCCATTAAGTTTAGTGATGCCTAAATGATTAAATTAGAACAGGAACAGATTCATTCGCTGGAAAGCTGCCTACTCAATATCCCGTAGAATGAAAAAAAAATGTTTCTCCATTACCAGCTTTTCTCTCATAAGACCTGTACTTAGTTTCAAGTTTCTTTTTCCTTAGCTTTGCTACTGATAACATAGTCTTCCTTCCTCCCCCCCCTTCAGATTCAG